TTCATAAAATTCTGTTTGAGGCTCAAGTTTTTCAGATATCTCTAAAATTGTCATTTTCTATGAAGAAATGAAGCCGAAAATAAGTGTTCTAAAATGTAAATCTACAAAAAAAAAAAAATGTTTGGATAATTTACAAAGTTCCTCAAAATATTTCGAAACTTTATAAGAAAAATTGCACTTTTGAAAAATTTGCCTAAAAATCCACAAAATATTCTGAAATATAGATCTTGAGGTTCAAATTCGAAAAATATGGCTCGTTTATGGTACTCGAGTAATATTTTCGAAACTTGGTTTTAAGGACAAAAAAATCTGGAGAAAAACATGAACTAATTCGGAAAACATAACTTGGTGAAAATCCCAGATCAAGATTTTTAAGTTCAGTTTGAAAATTTGCATCTCAAAAATTAAAATTCAAACTTTTAACGATTCTGTAAAAATACTAGGAATTTTCTAAGAAATGAACCTAAAACAATTTCGACACGTGGAAACGAAATATACAAGAAAATGTCTAGATAATTTTCACATGATGCTTGAAAAATTGTCAAAAAATTCATAGAAAATTTCAGCTTTTTGAAAATTGGTTCAACAATCCTAAAAAAATTCTAGATTTAAACCAGTCGATTAGAAAAACATAACGTGTTGATGGTTCCGGGCCAAAATTTTCGGCAAATTTAGTTTGAAAGTGGATTTTTTTAAATATCTTGAAAGCTCGAACTGCGGTCAAAAAGTTCGGATGGGGAGAAGGGTAATGACTAATAAGAGACTGAAATTGTTCAAAAATTACCTAATTATCCTGAGAAAATTCTGAGGAAATACATTTCGATGACCTATTTAGGAAAACAAAACGTGCTGATGATCCCAGATCAAGATTTATGAAAATATTTCGAAAATTGTCACTTTTACTTCATAGATTCTGGGAAAATTGTTAGAATTTTTGAAGAAATGAAGCTGAAAATAACTTCTACCAGTGGAAATCTAGAAGAAAATGCCTTTAGGTAATGGAGAATTCAAAAATTGAGATTTTTGAACGGTTTCCAAAAGATTCTCAAAACATTTTTATTTATTTTTTTATTTTATTTTATTTTTTGTTTTCCAACGGGGTTACACCCAATTACAGGAAAAACTAAAAATTAAAATTAAAAATTAACAATAACAAGAAAGTAAAACTAAAAAGAAAAGAAAATTCTGGGAACATTTTGCGAAATACATGAACTACGACGCGCTAATTCGCAAAACATAGCTAGTTGATGGTTCTCTAATAAATTCGGTGAAATTAGGTATGAAATTAAGATTTTCCAAATTTCCTTAGAATTGTCATTCTGGAAAAAAATTGTAATTTTCGAGAAAATGAAGTCGAGAATAACTGTTTCAAGTCGTAAATCTAAAAAGCCAAGGGTTTCGATAATTTACAAAGGTAGTCGAAGACAAGTTTCATACGAATACTGAAAAATTGAGCTTTTGAAAAAGTTGGCTAAAAATTTTTTGAAATAGTGGGTATTTAAGGCGAAAACAAATAATATTCGAAAAGTGCTCGAAAACGCTCTAAAATTCACACGAGGTGTTGGGGTTGAGGGTAACGAAAAATTGAGATTCTAGGAAAGTTGTTTACGAATTCTCAAAAAATTCTAGTTGGATGAGTTGATTCGAAAACATTATTTGGCGAAGATCAAGGACCAATATTTAAAAAAAAATCACTTTGAAAGTGCTATTTTCAAATTAAAATTTTTCATTTTAACGATTTTGGAAAAATAGTAGAAAGATCTGAAGAAATGAATCAGAAAATAACGTCTACAAGTGTAAATCTACAAAAAAATATGTTTCCAAAATTTTGGTGGGATGGCTGGAAAACCACCAAGAAATTCATTGAAAATTTCAAATTTTTGGAAAGTGGTTAAAAAATTTGGAAAATACATTTCAACCAGTTGATTCGAAAAACATCGCATGTTGAAGGTTCCGAGCCAAAATTTTCAAAAACTTTGCTTTGAAAATGGGTTTTTTGAAATATCTCGAAAGCTCGAATTACAGTCGAAAAAATTCAAATAAGGAGGGGTACTGAAAAATTGAAATTTTTCGAAGTAGTCTAAAAGTTCTCTTGAAGTCTGGGGAAATACATTTCGATGACTTGACTCGAAAACTATAATTGATTCCAGATCAAGATTTATGAAAACATCTCAAAAATTGTCATTTTTTATATTTCATAGATTTCGGGAAAATGCTTGGAATTTTCGAAGAAATGAAGCTGAAAATAACTTCTACAAGTGTATATATACATGAAAATGGACTTAGGTAATTTGAGTTTGAAAACGCAATTTCGAAATATCTTGAAATTTAAAATTTTTTAATTTTAACAATTTTGGAAAAATAGAAGAAAATTTCGAAGAAATGAAGCTGAAAATAACTTCTACAAGTGGAAGTCTACAAGAAAATATCATAACATAATTTTCCTGGGATGCCCGGAAATCCATCGAAAAATCCATTAAAAATTTCAGATTTTTGGAAAATATTCTGGAAAATACATTTCAACCAGATGATTCGAAAAATATTGCACGTTGAAGATGATACCGGGCCAAAATTTTCGAAAAATTTGGTATGAAATTGGATTTTTTGGAATATCTCAAAAGCTCGAACTACGGTTAAAAAAAATCAGATCGGAAGGAGGGTACTGAAAAACTGAAATTTTTCAAAAGTAGTCTAAAAATCTTCTTGAATTCTGGGGAAACACATTTCGATCACCTGATTCGAAAAATCTAAAGTGTTGATGATTTCAGATCAAAATTTACGAAAATATCTCGAAAATTGTCACTTTTATTTTATAGATTCCGGGAAAATTCTTGTACTTTTCGAAGAAATGAAGCTGAAAATAAGTTTTACACGTGGAAATTTACAAGAAAATAAATTTAGGTAATTTTTGTTTGCTTTAAAAACGGTAAAAAAAATCGCATAGGGGGAATCTAAAAAGTCAGATTTTTGAACAGTTGCTGAAAGATTCTGAAGAAATTCTGGAAAATAAATGAATTTCGACGAACTGATTCGAAAAACGTAGCATCTTGATGGTTCCGAGTCAAGATTTTCGAAAAATTCAGTAAAATTCGGTTTGAAAAATCGTCATTTTTATTTAATCGATTTTTGAAGAACTGTTGTAATTTTCAAAGAAAATAACATTGACAAGCCAAAATCGGAAAGAAAAATTGCTAGGAAACTTTCGGTGGATTCTTGAAACGCGGCTAAAAAATTCATACAGGTGTATTGAAAATTTCAGATTTTTAAAAATAGTCCAAAAATCCTCAAAAATTTTGAGATTTCAACGGGCTGATTCGAAAACATGATGGTTTCGGACCAAAATTTTAGAAAAGTTCGATTTGAAAATGGAATTGTTTCAAAAATCTCGAAAATTCTTAAAAATCTGTAGGGAATACATTTCGACAAGCCAATTCAAAAAAAGTAACGTGGTGTAGATCACTGATCAAGATTTTTGAAAATATCTTCAATTTTTTATTTTATAGATTATACAAGTGGAAATCTACAATAACAATTTTCGTATGTTTGAAAAGTGATCAAAAAGTTATATGTGGGGAGTTGAAAAATTGAGATTATTGAATAGTTGCCGAAGGATTCTCAAAAAATTCTGTGAAATATATACATTTCGATGAATTGGTTCGAAGAACAACTTGCTGATGGTTGCAGACCCAGATTTTCGAAAATATTTCGAAACTTTTACATTTTTCATTTCACAGATGCTGAAAAACTGAGATTTTTGAAAAGTTGCTCGAAAATCCCCAAAGTGCTCTGGGAAACACATTCCAATGGACTTCAGTGCGGCTCTTATTTTGTTTCTAAAGGAATTTGAAAAAATTTTGGCGCTTGTCTGTTTTTTTTTTCTAAAGGAGTTGTTATAACAAAAATGTCTAGAAAAAGAAGTTGCTTTCTTGTTTGCGTAGTAGAAATGAAGAAGTTTTTTTTTTAACTGTAGATCCATTTTTTAAATGATTATTAAATGTTACAAGTGTGTAAATTTAATCCTTTTTGTCAGTGCGAATGCCGTTTTCGCCATCCCCGCGCTAATTCGCATAATTCCCCCAACTACACTTCCCGAGTTACAAATTCGGCGTTTTATCGACACTACTGTTACAGATCATAATCCCTGACATTATGGACGTATAATAAAACCCCGGAAATCCATACCTACATCAAATCCGGAAATTATTTGAGGCAGATGTTATAAATGTCCTTTATTTAACACACAATTTACATGATTCTGTACTAGGGCGTTCATCAGGCCAATGAAGTCGGTACAATGTATTCAGGGAGTTGAGTGGAGCATCAATACCGAGATTACAATAAAGCCCACCACATTATCCCGCTTGATATATAGCCCAACCGTTCAAGGATAATCAGATTCGAAAACGCTGCGATTGGTTTCGCCGATTGGTTTTATACTACACGGCTAATAATAAAAAGCGACATTTAATTCAATTTATTCTGCAATTTACTTGCTTTGTTTTACGTCGCGCTGTAAAAAACGACGAAATCCGCATCGGCCGCTCCCGAGCGCAGAATGCACCTCTAAAATAAATTGCAGGACGTACGGCCTGCCAGATAAATAAAACTTTTACCTGTTTGTGCCCCAGATGGAATTCGGCCCACATTTTACAAGCGGCACTCCGTCAAAAACGAACACGACACCGACGCTAATCCGGCACGGCTGCTCGAAATTAATCAAAAATCCAGATTCGAATTTTAAAAAGATCGTGTCTATTTGAAATCCATTAGTTGGTATTCAAAAACCCAAAACCGTCTTAAAGCATCTCCCTCGGACGAATTTCCCCCGTTTTCAAAATAAAGCCACGGCAATAAAAAAGACAAACGATTATTTTCCGGGAGCAAAAATTTCATTCAGGACACTTTTAATCCGGCATTCGATTGCAGCCAAGCTGAGAAACCAATACGACCGATAGGCATTTACGAGGCAATAAGTTAAGAAATAGAGAAATAAAACTGACCGCTTCTGTGTGGATGGGGTGGGCGGCGAAGAGGAGGCCGGCGAGGGTGGCGAACGGGGGTTTCAGGCCGGCGATGCTCAGGCACACCCTGGTGAACAATATGCAGGCGGCCGCATGCAGCAGGATGTTCGTGGCGTGAAACCACACCGGCTGCAGGCCGAAGCACAGATAGTTAGCCCTGGAAAAGAAAACAACTGTCAAAAAGTCTGAATTTCGATTATCGTGTATTCGGTGTCACCTTTACTAGCATTTCCGTTGTGTGTGATAAATCCGCGGATTTTTTAATAGTGGTTGTAGAGCGACTAACGCAGCCCCGAATGGTCGTAAAACGGCAAGAAGTCTTTTAGTTTCGATGTAATTTCCATATTTAGATGAATACGAGTCTGAGTGCGGAAACTTGGACAACGTGTTGTAGATTTTTTTGTTCGAGTGTTGCAAAAATCGACGTTATAATAACGAGGAATGCAGTAATGAATTTTCATGCATATTCTGGGACCGATTAGCTCGGAGCGACGACGAGGACTAGAAAGGAAATTGGAGCACAGTTGGTAACATTTCACAGAAGACAAAAGGAAGTGAATTGCAGTGGACGGTGCAGCATATGTTCGAATATCGTTTTATTACTGCAGGTCCCTGCATCTCAATTTCGGAAGAATGAAGGCTTTATGCTGTCGGACATTATTAGAACTGAATGTCAGTTAAAAATATCGAGTTCACTTTGAATTTTGAGATAATGATGTGAAGCGTTGTAGCAAGGCGCTGCACAAGGAATTAATTAGTGTGGAGGTTGTACATTTTGGAAATTCGGTGGAAACAATGCTTTTGTGTTTGGATATATGTACACGTTCTAGTTAGTTCACGGATGTACTCACGGTTTTTGGAAAATAAATTCTAAAAATAGATTGACTAAATTATGGCAGCTACCTCAAGAAGAATGACCGTTTCTCGGATTAAATTAAGCAAATTTAAATATTTTTATAAAAATGGTGGAGGCGCCGGGACAGTAATATTAAAATCAATATCAACAATTTTTAACAAACATTTAAATGAAATATTATTTTTTATTTTATTTTATTTTTTATTTTATTAATTACGTCCCCCAACAGGCACTGAGGCCCAATTACAGGGGAACGGGACATACACGTTACACCCAGAGTATAATCTCTATAATCCGAACCCAAAATTAATGATGGATGAACTGTGACAGATTTAACCAAGGAGTACAATGTTGGAACGTCAACTATCTGTGTTATCAAGAAAAAGAAAACTGCTATAACTTCCTACGTTTCATTTACAGAAAATGGTTCAGGAAAAAGAAAAATTCTAAAATTGTTCAAAATCCTTATCTAAGAAATGAGGTCCGGAGTGATTTCTGCAACCCGAAATCTACTAATTTGTTTCTTTTAAAAATTGTTATATAATTTGTTTCTTTTAAAAATTGTTATTTATTTTTATAAAATTATGTTCGATGTATTTACTAGCTTCTTCTGAGGCGTGTAAAATTTTTTATTAGCACAAATAAAGATTTATTTATTTATTTATTTATTTATACTATTTGCTAATAAAATTAAGGTTTATCTCTTTAGTTTCTTTTTAGCAATAACGGATGTCTGTAAAATGGCGGACTGTTTTATTTTCGGATAAATTTAAAGGAATCTGGTCTTTTGTTGCTGGATGAACTTGAAAAAATCTTTTGAGCTATTAGTGTTTTTTTAATTTTTATTTCGGGAGACTCTTGAGCACCTATGGTGTATTATTTTGGGAGCAATGCAGATTTTTTGTAAATTATTTAAAACAATTTTGGGGAACTTTGGGAATATATTTTTGGAAAATTCTGACCTGACCTGGTTTTGAGTTAATTTTGGACCCTTTTTTTTTTAAATTTTAAACAATCTTGAGGTTCTCGTATTCCTGTTTGGAAAGAATTTGAAAGTACTTTGGGGCATCTAGTGTCTTTTCTTAGAAGAATTTAATTAAATTTCTTAGAGGATACACGTGCTAAAATTAGACTTATCTATCCACCTTTTCTTTTGTTAGAGGGTATGTCATTTGCCAAAATCAGTCTTGTCTTCTCAGCTACTAACCCCGCCCACCCACCCTCTGTTTTCTTCAGGGTATCTCATCTACCAAATTCAGTCTTATCTTATCAGGTACTACCTCCGCCCACCCACCCTCTCTTTTCTTCGAGGGTATGTCATTTGCCAAAATCAGTCTTATCTTGGCAGGTATTAGCCATTCTATAAGAAAATACAGGGTGGGTGGGCGGGGCTAATTATTGATAAGATAAGACTGATCTTGGCACTTTTGACATGTTTAACCACTTTTCAACTATTTCGAAAATTTTTGATTGTGTTTTTTATTTTTATTTTCTTTCTTTTTTCAATGTTCCACATTTTTGTTCCCATTTTTTTAATTTTCAACTTTTAGATTTTTTCATTTTTCGTTTCTTCAACTTTTGAATTACAATTTTTTTAGTTTTCATTTCACTTAATCAATTTTAGCATCTTGCCCTCTATTTTCTTAGAAGATATGTCATTTTCCATGATCAGTTTTATTTTACCAAATACTAGCCCCACCCACCCACCCTCTATTTTCTTAGAGGGTATGTCATTTGCCAAAATTAGTCTTATCTTCTCAGCTACTAGCCCCGCCCACCCATCCTCTGTTTTCTTCAGGGTATCTCATCTACCAAAATCAGTCTAATCTTATCAACTTCTAGCCCCGCCCACCCACCCTCTGTTTTCTTAGAGGGTATGTGATTTGCCAAAAATCAGTTTTATCTTAGCAAGTGTTGATGACTAACTTTTACAAAAAAATGATCAAAATTTGGAAACATTACGAGCTTACTTATATGCACAAGGCAAGAATTTTGAACATCTTCTTCTCTAGTGTTTAGTTGGTTATGTTGGATTTTCTTGTCTTTGGTTTTGTTTTTATTTATGAAAAACGGAGAAATCGAAATCGAAAACTTGAGAAATCGAAATAGCCAAACATCGAAAAGTCGAAAGAATCAAAATTGAAATATTTTAAACTTAAAAAAACCGATAACTTAAAAAATTGAAAAATCGAAAAAATTAGAAATAAAAAAATAAAAAACCAAAAAATTGAGAAATCAAAAATTTTAAAACCGAAAAATCGAAAGTTCGGGAAATCGAAACATCAAAAAAAGTAAAAAATCATATTCAAAAATCTAAAAATGAAATATTCCCAAAATTGAAATGTTAAAAAATTGTGAAATCTAAAACTCCAACAATCGAGAAATTAGAAAAAACGAAGTCAAAAAAATTAAAAAATCAAAAATCAGATTTCGACAAATCGAGAAATCGAAAATTCGAAAAATTCCAATAAATTTAAAAAAATTCAGAATCAAAAATCGAAAAATTGTAAAATTTAAAAAATGGAAAAATGTAAAAAATCAAAAAACAGATTCTAGAAATCGAAAATTCGAAAAATTGAAATATATTTGAAAAAACTCAAAATTGGGAAATCCAAACATCAAAAAAATTATAATATCGAAAAATGGAAAAAACGAAAATGTAAGTTTTAAAAAATAGAAAAAGTGAAGAATTGAAAAACTGAAAAATTGGGAAATTGAAGAATGGCAAAATCTAAATGTCGAAAAATGAAAATCGAAACATTGGAACATCGAAAAATCGAGATATCGAAAAACCAAAAGATCGAAAAATCGAGAAATTGGGAAATCGAAAGAGCCCAAAATCGAAGAATTCAAAATTGAAACATTTGATCCTAAAAAAACGAATACAATGAAAAACTGAAAAATCGAAATCTCGAGAAATCGAAAAATTGAAAAATTAAAAACTGAAGACTCGAAAAATATGCATATCGAAAAATTAAAAAATCGAAAAAATGAAGAATCGAAAAATCAAGATGTGGAAAGTGGAAAAATTGAAAAATCTAAAAGTAGTCTTATTAAATGTTTTTTTTTTTGTATATTTATTAATGAAAATATAAGCTTGTTTTATTATATATGTGCACAGCGATTCTCTATTTCACTGACTTATTTCGACAAGTTGTAGTAACCCGGATTTAAAACAAAGTAAAAGTGGCCCCGCCCACCCACCCCTACTCCCTTTTCATAATTCACTCTTATTAGCTCTGAAGAAGGGAAGTTGGATTTTATATTGATAAAAAATAGAATCTAGGATTAAATTTTTTTAATATAATTTAATGTCTACTAAATCGTTTCAAGTTTTAGATTTTGTAATTTTTTGATCAGCAATTTTAAGAGTTCTCAATTTTTAATTTTCCGTTTCTTCCATGTTTCGATTTGCAACTTTTCATATTTTTAAGTACTTGCTAAGATAAGACTAATTTTGGCAAATCACATGGCCTCTAAAAAAATAGAGGGCGGGTGGGCGGACCTAGTATTTACTATGATAAGACTAATTTTGGCAAATCACATGGCCTCTAAAAAAATAGAGGGCGGAGGGGCGGGCCTAGTATTTGCTATGATAAGACTAAATTTGGCAAATCACATGGCCTCTAAAAAAATGGTGGGCGGGTGGGCGGGCCTAGTATTTTCTAAGATAAGACTAAATTTGGCAAATGACATACCCAGTAAGAAAACAGAGGGCGGGTGGGCGGGGCTAGTACTTGCCAAGATAAGACTGAACAATATTAAAAGTTGTCATTGAAATGAAGAGGAGGCGGGGCTACTGCTTGCCTATAAGACTCCTTAGAAAAAAGCTAAACTCAGACTCGCTCACCTCTTTCCTTTGTTTCAGTGACTTATTTTGACAAGTTGTAGTATCCACGATTTAAAACAAAGTAAAAGTGGCCCCGCCCACCCAGCCCTATTCCGTTTTAATAATTCGTTCTTATTGGCTCAGAAGAACTAAAGTTGGATTTTATATTGATAAAAAATAGAATATAGGATTACATTTTTTTAATATAATTTAATTTTTATTAAATCGTTTCAATTTTTAAATTTTGTAATTTTTCGATCAGAATCAATTTTAAGAGTTCTCAATTTTTAATTTTCCATTTCTTCCATGTTTCGATTTGCAACTTTTCATTTTTTGTTAGTACTTGCTAAGATAAGACTAATTTTGGCAAATCACATGGCCTCTAAAAAAATAGAGGGCGGGTGGGCGGGCCTAGTATTTGCTATGATAAAACTAAATTTGGCAAATGACAAATTCTCTAAGAAAACAGAGG